TAAGATGTCCATTAATTTTTAACCTTTGTCTAAATTTTCAAAAGCTTCTATCATCATCCATTCACTGTAGATGTTAAAAAGTGTTGGGGGCAAATCACATCCCTGTCTTATTCCTTTTTTAATCCCTGAAATCTGACCATTGCTTTTTGAATTTTATAGATGTTGTAGATTATTCTCAGTAATTTTTTTTATCAATACTTATTTTTGCAGAATCTCAAACAACAGCATTCGATTAACACTATCAAAGGCCTTCTCAAAGTTGACAAAACATACAAATAACTCTCTATTATAATTAATCATCCTTTCTCCTATATTAGTTGTATCATTGCAATAGCCTCCCCTTGTCCCTCTGCCTCTTTGGAAACCAAACTGTGACTCGTCTAGTTCCTGATTTATGTAGTTTTCTATTCTTTGCAGTATGATGTTAACTAAAACCTTTGAGGCATGGCTTATCAAGCTAATAGTTCTGTGTTTATCACAGTCTAAATTACCCTCAGTTTTAGGAACAGGGATGAAGATAAATTTTGTAAAATCATCCAGAATATCTACCCTAAAATTATGTTAAAAAATTAGTATTCTTGTTCCATCTTCCCCTATAGCATTAAGGAGTTCTCCTTGTATTTCATCTATTCCTGATGTCTTTCTGTCCCTCAGCTTTTTCAATGCAGCATCAATCTCTTCCTTAAGAAAGGTTGCTCTCTCTTCTTCTTCCTCCTCCTCCATCCCTCCTAGGTTTAGACTGTCCTCATTTCCGTAGAGATTGTCTACTTATCTTTTCCATCTTAGCACTTGCTCATCTTTCTGCAATAAAATGTTTCCATTTTCATATCTCAGAGTCCCAATTCTGCATTTCCTTTTTTTCCTGAGGTTAAGAGGAGTATATGAAAAGCTTAGCTTTTCATATACTCCTCTTAAGTCATTCCCATTTGTGTGGTGCTCCATTTCCAGACATAATTGATTCAACCACTTTTCCTTTACCTGTTTCCACATTAATGATTCTATATTTTTCTTTCTCTTCTGTGTTATTAGCATTTTTGCATCACCATCACATCATCATCTTTATCCGTCTTTTTTTATACTATCTCTTCTGTGACCCAAGGCTTCTTTATTTGTCTTCTTTTCTTGCCAATGATGTTAACCGCAGTGTCTAATTTTTTGTTTGAAATCATTCCAATTTCCTCTGCACTTCTCTTAGTGTTGAAATTTTGCAGTCTTCTGGATATGTCAGCTTGAAAAGTCTTCTTGATGTAGTCTTTCCTCAATGCCTCTATATTGAGCCATTCTTTTGCTTTTTTTGGCCAAACGTGTTTACGACTTATTCTTAGTTTTGTTACTAGTAGACTATGATCATTGTTGCAATCTGCACCTGGATAAGTCTTCGTGTTAAATATTGCATTTCTAAATCTGTAGTTGACTAGAATAAAATCAATTTGATTTCTTGTTTCTGCCCCTCATAATCCTGGAGCTCTCCATGTAGCCAATCTTCTTTCATGCCGTTTGAACCAGTTGTTAGTTACAATCATGTTGGTTCTTCTGCAAAATTGAACATTTTATTCAAACAAACTATGAAGTAAAATCAAGTTGAATGCCATCAGATAAAAAGTGTATCAGGCATATTAAGCTTTATGAATTTCAGGAAGGATATCCCACCATACAAACAGTAAAATAAATTTGTATGGGAAAGACGTTCCCGAATCTCCAGTCTCGAATGAGATTATTGACAACAGCTTCAACATCTTGGTTTGAAATCAGTGGTCCTATTATTTTCAAAATTATTATCATTATTTTGGCCATTTTCTTGTTTTTTAAAAGGTAAGAAAAATAGTCTGTACTGCTTAACCTCGTAACTCGATCAATGTAGGACTTATACAGGTTATATGTCTAAACAGAGAATGGCAAAATTAATTGCTATGAATTGCTGTTGTAGAATAAGTTTTGGGTCTAAACCCCTCTTCAGCTGTTAACAATTCCCTAAAAACACCAGTCCAGAGTAGTCACAAGGAAATTGTATTTGTAGTTTAATATTATCCAAGAAAAGGTACATATAACATCGCACAGAGAGTACTAAATGTATGATATAAAATTTTTTATATTTCCAAAAAATAAAAAAGCTAGACAAATTTACCTAAGAGAGAGTCACAATAGATTTTATATATTGAAATGTAATCTAAAAACAAAGTATAATTTACATGAAAAAAATTGATTAAAACTACTAGGTATTTTCTAGGAAAACAAGACTAAGCTCCGCATGGGTTTTTTTTCTGTTTTGGCTTCACACAAAAACACAGTTATGGTGAAAAACTTCTAACATTCTGTCTAAAGCAGTTTACAACATGCAGGTGACAAGATGTGCATATCCAATGTCATAAGTAACAAAAATGTCAAGAAACATTTAAAACATCCACACGTGCAAACAGGACCCTACCAACTGCAGTAACTGTAAGGATCAAAATAAAAAATCGTAGAGATCAATGTAAATTGATAGCAAATGGAAATTTGTTTGACATGCAGCACACAACCAGTTAAAACCAGTAATCAGCATAGCAAACTTTGGCTTCAGATACCTCAGACCATAGATGGAATTTCAAAATTTTGGCTTTGTCATGACATTGGAACATGGGTCTTGCCAAGTTGTATATATATCTGCATAAAATCATGTTTAATGGTCCTGTAGTTGTTTTAAAATTACATCAGCAATCAGCCCATAGACTTTACAGTGAATTTTGATCTTGAATATCTCAATCTTAGCCAATAGGTCAAATTTCTGGCTTTGTCATGACATCGATCTTGTCTAGTGAAAAAACCATGTTTAATGGTAATGAGGTTGCTTTGAACTCTATTACAGACAAAACACTTTCTAACTTATAAAGAGCTCTGCTGAATAATAAAATAAATATTAAATAACTTTTCTATTTATGTAAAATATTCCAGAGTTTAAAAATGTTCCTCACAAATTTGAAAAAAATAAAAAACGATAAATAAAATCACATAAAATTATTGTAAATCTATAAAAGAATAAATGTTTTTAAAAATTTTTTAAAGGGGTTAAAACCAAAAAATAAGTACAGTTGTCCCTCGATAGTCCGACGTTTTTTAATCCGACATGCTCAGTAGTCCGACGCACCTCCCGTCAAGGTACCCGTCCCCGTTACGTGTCTGCTTGCACAGAAGCATGTCGCGATGTGAATCTCCCCATCCAATTCTTACTCGATGACACACATTTCGTGTGTTTTATGTGAGCAGTTCTGTTCAAACAGTTGGAGTAGAGAATATTGTAAGTTACTGCTAGCAAAACAATGCGAAATATGTAATTATTTTCGGTAATCCGGACACTTTTGGTAATCCGACACACCTTTGGTCCCATACCTGTCGGATTGTCGAGGGACAACTGTAATTATATATATATATAAAAATAAATTTAAAAGGTTAAAAAATACTTTCAAAAATTAGATGTAAAACCAATTACAAAAGTTATAAAATTGATGTGTGAACACTGGATGACTTTTCCTACACTTTTAACAAGGTAAGAAAAGTCAATATATTGAGTAATAGTGTTAAATAGTGGTTTTCTTTAATGAACTGTTCCAATTATATTAACACATCTTGCCAGATTTCACTTAAAGTAAATCCCTCATTTAAATTTATATTAAAATGTTTGTATACTTTTCTTTTAATAATATTTGAACATTTAGTAAAATATGGAACTGGCTTTAACACAGTGAATGGCAACAGCAGAATTTGTATAATTATTTGTGGAGTTGTGAGATTTAAAAAGTATGACAATTGAATAAAACAAGAAGCTTTGAACATACAAATTAGTCTGATTCAACTTCTTTTTTACATAGGGATTTTTATTACTTTTCAATAAAACAAAGAATTTTCACAAGTCTATAAAAATATATTTTTTAAGTGTGAGGAAAACACGTTAATTAAACTAGCGTCACATTTTGGATTATAACTTCTGTATATAAACATATAATTTTTTTCAACCAATGTGTAATTTATTTGAATATTTTAATATTAAAAAGAAAAGCTAAACTATATTGACAACAATATAATTAAAATACTAATAATTCATTAAAATTAATTAGTACAGTTTACTGAATATCTAAAAACATATATAACAAAGAAGTTATGGTTCTTTTTGGTTAATGGGATGCCAGAAGATGATCACAAAAGACTATCGTGTTTAACAATTTAGCCCACACAACTGTGCTTGCTTCAAGTAGCCCACTTGACTGTTCATGGAGTACTTGATGTTATATAATTTTAGAGGGGTCTGGGGGCTCGCCCTCACTTGGGTGTGTAGGTGAGAGTTATAGCACGTACCAAGGTGAACATCTACACGCCAAGCAAGTAGAATAGGCAGTATACTGATATGTGTTAAAAACCTTTGGAGGCAAATATCTCGTGAAGGGTTAACAATTCTAGGAGTGGTGTGAAACTCCTCATTCACAGCTTGAATCTTACTCGTTGCTGTACATATTGGCTGGTGTCCCATTAACCGAAAGTACCGAAATTATACTGTCATCAACACACAAAAATCACATTAAGTACTAAAAATCAATTTTACAGGAGCAATAAAAGAGAATTAATATTGCATATAACATAAAATTTTTATCAAGTAAAGGTTCATTATTAACTGTAATCATAAAATTACCTAGATTTACTAACGACTAAACTTGACCAAAAAATAAAAATAATAATTTAGTTGTTTACCAGGTAGCCTATTTTCAGCAATATAGACTGCCCAATTACATACAAGTAAAAGTACGGATTATTCTACTGATTTAATATTTTTGAGAGTTTTGCAGAACACATATTCCAAGGGCCTGCACGACTACGATATAAAAATTATTTGACCCACAGTGGCATTTTACGAGGTTTTCATGTGTCAATGATGATATAACTTAACATTTGTAGACATTTGAAAGTTAATTTTTTAAATAAAAATTTAAATAATTAATAATTAACAATACAAAGAATAAATTTTGACCAACCTCATCGGATTATTTGGTGGATTCCAATAAATTAAATCTATCATCGTCATTTTACTATGTTCCGGTGGTTTTTTGTTGTGTCTATTGCGCTTTTTTGATACTTCCTAGATCAATAATCAAAAATTTTTCTAAATACAAATCTTAACACTAAAAAAAACTTATTCATGTTTAATTTATCAATACATAATTCCTATTGGTAATACATAATTCCTACAGGATTCCCTCATTACATTTTTTTCATAATTTTGCTTCCTTAAGATACCTCATGGTAATTATACAGTTTAAGGAAATATGAGGTTTCTATTTTATTTTAAAAATGTATATTTAATAGACATNATTGAAAAGTCGGATAACTGAAAAGTATGAAAAAATCCATTATTAGTGTAGTATATTATTATATCCATGTAATTAGTATATTAGTATATCGCTATTAACCTACTTCACGTTGAATTTTCATCAATGTTAAGCCTAACAAAAATTTTTTAAAATAATAATTGTCGCTATTGTATTGTTAAAAATTAGAAAATTAAGCCTCTGGCTCCCTTTCATGGTCGAATATAATTTTGCTTCCTTAAGATACCTCATGGTAATTATACAGTTTAAGGAAATATGAGGTTTCTATTTTATTTTAAAAATGTATATTTAATAGACATTCAGAAAGCACAAAGCATTTTTCTGGGCAACCTGTATATAAAGTGCTATAAACAAAAAATCATAGGACTAGTTACCAACTGTAGTCTGTTCAAGATGCCATTGCTTAAGCTTGTTGTCATCGCAGAGCAACATGTTGGACACTGGATGGCAAATGCATAGAAGGTGTGTCATGTAATTTCACATACACGCCACTTTGTCACATGACTGTATGGAAACTTCACTCTCCTTAATCACGAGACCTCTCCGATGTGTTTCCTGCATCATGTGATATAGAAGTGAGTGACATCTCATTCCTAACATGTGATTACCTATTGTTACTCAAAACACCCCACAGACCACAGTTTGATGAACATTCTTTAGTTACACTTCTAACATACTATAACAAAATCAACCAACTTAAGATTTGACAATGATGATTCATTTTTCAAGATATACTCCGTAAAAAACAGAACAAATAAATCTTAGTTCTTAGTTGCTTGCTGTTCTCTTTACTATATGTATTTTCTTAACATAAGGTTGCCATTGAGAACAAATAACACAGGAACACTTTTAATGGAAAAAAGTTGGTTTATTGATAGGACAAATAGAACAGACAAAAAAGTTTCAGAACAGACCAGTTTCACGTAATTTAGTCTCTATTTTTCAATTTATAATAAAATACAGTAGAGCGTCGATTTTCCGAATCAATTGGGGACTGGGGTTGTTCGTATAACTGATATTTCGGATAACCGATTTATGTACGAAAAAATAGTTTAACGTATCCGATGTTGAAATTTTTTTCCGTTGCATGTCGCTTCGCATTGAATTTTCGTTGATGTTAAGCCTAACAAAGACTATTGTATCGTTAAAAATTATTTTTTTATTTTGTACAAACAAAATAAATATATTGAAAAATATAAAAACAATAAAAAATTATA